ACGATATATATATATATATATATATATATATATATATATATATATATATATATATTTTTTTTTTTCGTTTTTTTTGGGGGGGGGTTCGTCATTATGTACGGGCCCATTCATACGGCCGTACGAGCAGAGCCCCGTACGACGTACGGAGTGTTACACAGTCCCGGCGATGTCGTTCCTTTTGTCTTTTTTGGAGGGGGAGTCTAATCCTCCCCTCTTCTGCTTGAGGGTCCACGCCTGTGCGGCGAAAAATAGGAATTCTTTCCTATGTGTCATTCGACCCCAAGTCAGCAGCCACTACCAGTTCTTTCCCCCGAATTTGGTCTACCACTTTTCCTTCGGCCTCTGCTTGTTCCTGTACGCCAGCCACAGCCCTGGGCTCATCCAAATTCAAAACGAATGAATCGTTAGTATAAACCTTATATTTGGTGTGTCTAGAAGTGTTGAGTTTCCGTCGTCACCCACTTCCTTATCCTCACTGTCCTCTCCTTCTTTTATCCCTTCCCCAGATAACGACTTCCCCACCACTCCCAGGAAATCCTCCTCATCGTCTTCATCTGAATCATCTTCCCCGATTCGGGTTTCTTCGTTCGCCTCCCCCTCATATTCCTCCCCCTTTCCTCCTTCTTCCTCCACGTCCTCTTCCCATGCTCCCTTGGGGCTCCTTGAGTCCTCTGAGTCCTCTAAGTCCTCTGAGGATTCCGTATCCTCATCCTCTGAGTTTTCTGTGTCCTCTGTGCCCTCGAATTCCCCCATACCCTGCTCCTCTGCGAACTTGCCTTTCTCCTTTCTGTTATCTTGGATTTGGTCACAGTCCCTCTCCCCCCCTTTTCCTCTGTTACAGTAATATTTCTTCTATCTTCCCCCGCGGGAGGGGTCTGCTCTCCTAGTCCTTCTTTCCTAGGCTGTGCTCCTTCCTCTTTGATCCCTACTTCTTTCCCCTCCACCCGAATCTCCTGTGAGGGGGTAGTGGAGGTTCTTTCTTTTTCTAATCCTCCTCCCATTAAGAGCCCTCCCTCTCCCACAGAGGGGGGATTAGGTTCTTTTCCCTTTTCCCTTGCACACGCCGCTTCGGAGTCACTTCTTTCATTGCCTTTCTCTGACTTGTCTCCATTGCCACCTCCTTGTCCTGTGTTTCTTTCCTCCTGTTTTGGATCATCTTCTGACTGCTCTTTCTCCCTTTTCTCTCCTTCCCCTGTGGCTTCTTTCATCTCAGTGTCTTTAAGATCATTATCCTCTTTCCCTTTGACTGTGTTCTTTCGCACTTGTCGGTAGATTTTCTTCCTCACCCCTACTCTTCGCCTTCGCCCCAGAGTGCCTTTCTCTTTTCCCTTCGTGTTTGAATCACGATTTTCTTTATCCCCTTTCCCGTTCTCCGACCGGATTTCTTTATCTCCCTGATCTCCTCTCCTTTTCCCGTCTTCCCCCTCTGGTGGCTTCTCTCTCTCTGGCCCCTTCTCCTTATCTCCCAGATTCTCCCTCCTTCCGGCCGTCACCAGATCCCTCTTCCTGTTGACATTTCCCATTGTCCTTTTTTGATCCCCCATGTGGGGATCCACCCGGTCCTTTTCGAGCTGCGTTCTCACGTCCTGCCCTTTTGTATTCCGGTTCTTGTTCTTCGGGCATGCCGGGTCGCCCGCAAAATGATAAAATTGCCTGCAGGTGGCGCACCATGGGGTGTCAGCCCCAATTACTTCCAATTCCACGTACCCGTGCTCGGCGAAGTCTACACATAACCAAGGTTTGAAACACAGTCTTGCCAAGGACACTAAATCAAATCTAATATTTAGCAACTCTGGGGAATTGGGTTCGTTGAAGGCCGGATAGGACTTTAAGATCTGCCCAAATGCATCTTCCACAGCATTTTCTAGCTGAGGCATCTCTGAGATTGGGACCTGCATACACTTAATCCAAAAATAATTAAAACGCATCGCCTCCCTCCACTCTTGAAGTTGGTAATCATTCATCCATGGTTGGAAGGTGAGTGTGTATGTTTTCCCATCCAGTGTTATCTTGTCCTGTCCTTTTCGCAGCATATAGGTTGCAACTTGCGCAGAGGCTGACACATAGGTCACTAAGTTCCTACACTCATTGTGAAACAAGCCTCTCTTTGGCGGATCGCTAATCTCCCAACTGGATGCCTATCCATCCTCCCAACTGGATGCCCATCCATCCTCGTAAGTTCTGACCAGTTCGTCACCATACAGGATGGTTACTGCATGTTCTTTTAATCAATAGACTTGAATTCGGAGAACTTGCGGGTTAATAGTCACCCTGACATAGTCTTCACCCACCTCCACTGTGTTGGGGGGGGTATTTGGAGACAATCGACGTGGCAATATCCCATCCTAATAACAAGCGCCGAGGATTCCCCTTATCCTCTGCTTCTCCGCAACTGGTATCGGCGGGGGTTGCGCGGTGGGTTGAGGGGGGGAACCCCCGTCTGGGAAGAGGGAGGGGGGTGGGCCTAAGAGGACGAAGCCCTATCTGTCCCTGACATACTGATTGACCTTTCGTCCCTTCCCCTAATCCTCCCTACTGTCAGTATTAAAGCAAAAAACGAATAAGTTACAATCCTACTCAAACAGAGGCAGAAATAAACTGGGATAAATAGGTAAGCCTTCACTGGCCCGCTGTGGGTCAATCCATGAGATCCAAGTATACCTCAATCATCTCGGTTCCTGGCGCATTGGAGAAAACATGCCTTGTCAGCTTCACTGCTTCTGCCACCATGCCTTTCCCCTCATCTTCGTAGAAGCTCCTTGACTGGTGGCTGCTTGGCAGGAACCATGGTTACGGGTACGGCGTACGGGAAACTCCCTAGCCCTGATATCTCACCGGGCACGTCTTACCAGACGTGTGACCCGATTCTGGCTTCCCCTTTTCATATTCCCGCACCCCGAGAACGCCTGTTAAAAATATGTGAGTGGAGGGAGAAATATGTGGCTGTGCCCCGATCAGATTAGATTGAATGGTCCTCCCGTAAGTAAGGCAGCCAACAGATGCGCTCGCTCCCGGATGGGCAGAAGGAGGGTGACAAATTTTGCTGTGCCACAGGATCTGCTGTGAGGTATCATAACTAACCTGGCCGCAGTGGCCGGCCCTAAACATTGCACACTCTTTTTTTTCTTTTTTCTTTTTTTTTACGGTATGCACACTCATTTTGTCCTGCTCATCTACACGTTTCCGGATTCGAACTTGGGTCTGTACGGCCCCGTTCTGCACGCCTTCACTCCTACCGGATTCCCGGTGGCCGGCCGGGCTGCGGGCCGGCGTCCTCGCGGCATGTCAGTATATATGTTTCCCTGGTTTGTTGAGGCATTAGAGCTTAGTCGTACATTAGAGCGTAGTCGTTTGCGTCTTCTTCGCTTTGCGGGATTGAGCAGCAAGGGAGGTGGTCGTGGTGGCTGTAGGATAAATAAACATAGGGCGGAGTCGTCGACAGGGCGCAAACGAAGGGCGAAAACGAAGGGCGGGGCGAGTGTGTTTGGGGAGCGGCTTGGTGAGCGAGGGGCGCGCAAGCACAGGGGTTTGACGGGATCGTTTTCGCGGAGCGTCTTCGTGGAAGGAGGGCCAATACAGTAGAAGGTAATTGTTCGAAGCCTGTGTGCGAGAACGAGAGGGAGGGGAGGGCCGGGAGGGGTGAACACACACTAGACAAGGCAGGGTTGGGCAGGGATTGGACAGGTGTGTCAATGAGTTGGCGTTGGTGTTAACCATGGTAGAGGCAAGTAATCAAGGAGGGTCAGGAAATGACGTGGATTTTGCTTGGCTGAAGCGGGGATTCCGTTGTCAGTTAGGTTCTTTGTCTTTCGACACTTGTGTGTGCGAGAAAGAGAGGGAGGGGGGGTGAATACATTAGACCGGTAATGTCGGTGAGGGTTGGGAACTTGGGAAAGTTGTGTTAGTGTGTTCGTTGGTAACTATGGTTGAGGGAAGTAATCAAGGATGGTTAGAAAAATGCGGTGGAGGTTGCTTGCCTGAAGTGGTGACTTCTCTATGTTTTATTTTCGGTTCGGTTCTTTGTTTTTGTTTTGGTTTTGGAGAGAGAGAGAGAGAGAGAGAGAGAGAGAGAGAGAGAGAGAGAGGGATCGGAGGGTAGCAGGGAATAGATGACGTGGCACCTTGGATTCCTTCTGAAGCTTAGATGATAGGGTAGCAAAGCTGGAAGGCATGCAGGAAGGGTTTCTCCCTACGTACGGCCGCGTCTTACTGATGAACGATACTCCTTTTGGTTCTTCGTAATGCTGTTGTTCTCGTTGATTCACTGATCACGTTGATCATTACGGTTCTCCTTTCGGTTCTCATTATGAGTGTGTGTGTGTGTGTGTGTGTGTGTGTGTGTGTGTGTGTGTGTGTGAGAGAGAGAGAGAGAGAGAGAGAGAGAGAGAGGCCGGATAGGAGATACAGATGTCCAGGTACCTGTGTGTGATCTCGTGCATTTTTTAATTGCGAGAATTGTTTGGATAGGAGATACAGATGTCCAGGTACCTGTGTGTGATCTCGTGCGTTTTTTAATTGCGAGAACTGTTTGCTCGCGTTATGTGACGATATATATTATACATATATGTATATGTGATTTTGTGCATTTGATCTCGTTGTGTGTGTGTGTGTGTGAGAGAGAGAGAGAGAGAGAGAGAGAGATGGCGGGATCGGAGGCACAGATGACTGGGTACCTGTGATCTCGTGCGTTTTTTAATTGCGAGAATTGTTTGCTCGCACACACACACACACACACGCACAGAGAGAGAGAGAGAGAGAGAGAGAGAGAGATGGCGGTATCGGAGGCACAGATGACTCGGTACCTGTGATCTCGTGCGTTTTTTAATTGCGAGAATTGTTTGCTCGCGTTGTGAGTTTCCGTTCTTTCTCCTTTTTTGCGGGGCTTGTTTGCACTCTGGTCTACGTCTCTACGTTGTTTCTTGAATGTCACCGAAGCGTCTTTTCTGTAGTAGTTTGTGTGACTGAAGTGCTTTGTTTTGTGTCACTGAACAAGCCACGCAGTGCCACGTGCAGGCTGTAAGATCTACTCGTTTACGCTTGCATGGTATCGGACTCGAAAGTCTTGAAGTGTTCTCTCTCCGAAATCTAGTGTGCTTTCTCAGCTTCGTTTCATTTTCCCCTAACCAACCGTGGCCCTTCCGTTTAGGTCAGGAAAGAAACAGCAGCAGCGAAATTAATAAAACTGTTGAAGGGCCTAGTTGCACCACGCCTCATTCGAACATTTTGAATGGATCTGGACACGACTTTTGTCCGGATGCGTACACAATCTTGTTGGATGCCGAGTGGTGTAACGAGGCGACTGACGGCGCCATGCGTAACACTTCGAATGGATCTGGACACAATCTTTGTGCAGATGCGCGTTCACAACCTTGTTGGATGCCGAGTGGCGCAACGAGGCCCCAAACACTGAAACGTAATTTCTGTTGACTTTTCCACATTTTGCTCACAGCTCTCCGTCGACGGCGGATTTGACTTCGTCCCCCTTCGCAATGGGAGTCTCCATAGCCTTGCCACCGAGGAGGAGGAGGGGTACTTGGTGATGGAAGTTAATCGGGACCATTTCCATCGATCTATACGGAAACAATGTTTTGAATGTATCGAGACCATTTTCACGTCCAGATGCGTGGTTCCACACATGCGTACTAGAAAATAATGCACGTGCATGCATGCATGCGCACAGTTTCTTCGTTGCGGCCCATTTGCATCCGTAATTGTGGCCGTATACGTGCAGATCATTCAGCGGTTTAACTTCGTAATGGGAGTCTCCATAGCCTTGCCACCGAGGAGGAGGAACGGTACTTGGTGATGGAAGTTATCGGGACCATTTCCATCGATCTATACTGAAACGATGTTTTGAATGTATCGAGACCATTTGCACGTCCAGATGCATGGTTCCACACATGCGTACTAAAAAATAATGCACGTGCATGTATGCATGCACACAGTTTCTTCCGTGCGGCCCATTTGCATCCGTAATTGTGGCCGTATACGTGCAGATCATTCCGTAACTTAGGGTAGCTACAAGTATAGATGCGCTCGTGTGAGTACGCCCGTAATGGGATATTCCATGGCCTCGACCACCGAGGAGGAGGGATAGTTGTGTTGTGATGGAAATTAGGGAAGGCATGTGGGTGTCGCCGCCCCACACACCAAATTTCTATGTTCTACGAGAAGGGGAATGCTGTATGTTATACATTTGGTAAGTCGTCCTGCCAGTGGTAAGTTGTCCTGCCAGGCCCTGTAATCGCTCATATATGTTATTCTTGGGTGGTAGACGACGTATGTAATTGTGTTTGATTGCTGGGTCTACTGGCTTCGCCTGGGCGCTGCTTGCACGTTGACCTCGCTGTGCGAGATCTGCTTCGCTTGTTCAGTCCGCTGTTTGTCAGTTGATATGCATATGCGAAGGTGTAGGTCCCTATCCCGTCGACTTCAGCGATGCCTGCTTTGCGGATTGTGCCTACCGTCTTCACCCGAATAGAACTCCGGGTAATTATCGCCGTATGTAGGCTGAAAGTTGTGCCAAATACGGCTATAACGACCGGGCGTTATATTCGGGTGAAGACGTTAGTAACCCTACGGTATTTCGAATCACACGCCATTCTGATTCTTATGCCATATCTGTGTCGTTCGTGTTCGTGACCGAGAGTCGCCCATGCTTGTTTCATTGTCTTCCTTTTTTGTTTTTTTTCTGTTCCTCTTCATCTTCCGAAGGACGAAGACCGGAAATCTGCTTCGATCTATCTGAAGTCCGACGAGCCACTAACTAACGTGCGTGCGTAGAGCGAACGAAATATTATTTCTTAATCAGTATCGTTCGTCTTCGTGAGCGAGAGTCGGCCATCGCTGCTTTTTTTTTTAATGTTTTTCTTCGCCTCTCGAAGGATGAAGACCGAAGTTTCGTGTCGATCAGTCGGAAGGCCGAGCCATTTACTATACCGTACGTTTGCAGAGAGCACTGAAACTATTGGTACGGTTCATTTTCAAGCGGGTATATGATGATTAGTATATGAACGGTATGCGACACGTCAGACCACTTCGTTGTGGAAATGATATAACTGCGGTCTCTCCCGAACACAACGCACCTTTATGATGTGTGCATCGGACTGGAAACCTAGCCTCTATACATTCATAGGGAGGGTGCGTTGTGTTCGGGGGAAGACGGTAGGGAGGGCACGATCTCGCTCCAAGCGAGTGTTGTGAGAACGGACTATGAGGGCACAACTCCGTGCGGGCAAGAAATTGCAAGAGAAGTGGTATGTGACAGTACGTGAAATGTATGTAGTCGGAACAGTTGGTAAGGGGGGGGGGTGTACTACTTTCATTGACCGTCTCTATTCTGTATCGAGATTGGAC